CATTTGTTTTAGCATCTCTATGCTGGACAGCAAGTTTCAGTGTCTCTTCTGACTTCCATTTTGACCTTTTCTTTCTTTCTTGTCTTCTTAATGACTTTTTACTTTCTACCTGTATGATATTCTTAATGTCATCCCCACAACTCTTCTGGTCTTTTGTCTTTAGTGTTTAATGTATCATATCTGTTTTTCAGATGATCTCTAAATTCAGGTGGGATATATACAAGGTCATATTTTGGCTCTCGTGGACTTGTTTTCATTTTCTTCAGCTTCAGTTTGAATTTGCACATGAGCAATTGATGATCTGCTCCACAATTTGCCCCTGGCCTTGTTTTGACTGATGATATGGAGCTTTTCCATTGTCTCTTTCAGCAGATGTAGTCACTTTGATTTCTATGTATGGAAAAGATAGTAATCACAAAGTCTATACTAAAGTCTCAGCTATGTCCACCCACTGCAATGTTGTTATGTTTGTCATTTTTTTATAAAGAGGGCAATGCTTTTAGCAGGGAAAATGATTTTGATGTTTGTATTTCTACAAAGGCTAACATAGTGGTAGGTACACAGACAATAATTATAGAATGTTTCCATGAACAGAATTGTATTATATTTGCCAAACCGGTAGGCTAATCACTAATATTTGGGTTCTGACCCAAAGTAAATCTACTTTACTTGGATAGGCTGGTGGTGTCATTAAATGCTTTTTGTATTTAACAGCTGCTACTTTTCCCATCACCATAAACATGTGGGACAACTTATCAGATACAGAACATCCCTAATTGTTCAGCTCCCCTTTCTAAATCCCTGTTCAGGCAGGGCAAATTTAACACAGATTATAATGTACAATTAGTAGAAAGGAGGCAGAAAATGGATGATCTCAGTTAACAAAGAGAAAAGTTAATAAGTTCCGATATACTACTGGAAAACATAACACTATAAAAAGAACAGTTGTCTAGGCTGAGTTGTTTAATTTCCTGAATCATTTGTGGTTTCATTGCTATGTCAACTTTGATTATGAAACCTTTTTATTAAAACTTTCACCAAAATAACTATTACTGAAATATATTTTAAATAACTTACAAAAAGGAACAATCATCTAAAGTGTTTCTTTAGTGATTAGAGAAAAAACAGCTTTTTTCCTCCATCGGTGCAAATAATTTCAAGATATATGAAAATATCATTGAACTTTTAAGTATTTTTGTTACTTTTAGTTTTATTTTCAAATGTTTTTGGACTCATAGAAATGTTTTTAGACTCATGTAGGTTAGTCGAGTTCCTTTATGCCTATTGTCCAGGTCCCTCTTCTAACATCTAACATAACTACAGTACAGTTACCAAAACCAGAAAATTGAAGTTTTTGTTGTTAGGTGTCATAGAGTCAGTTCTAACTCATAGTGACTCTGTGTACAACAGAACAAAACACTCCTTGGTCCTGTGCCATCCTCACAATTGCTGCTATGTTTAAGCCCATTGCTACTACCACTGTGTCAACCCATCTCCTTGTGAGTTTTCCTCTTTTTGATTGACCCTCCACTATACTAAGCATGATGTCCTTCTCCAGGGATTGGTCATTCCTGACAGCATGTTCAAAACATAAGACAGGAAGCCTTAGCATCCTCAGCTCTATGAACATTCTGGATGTACTTCTTCTTCCAGCACAGATTTGTTTGTTCTTCTGGAAGTCCATGATACTTTCCATATTCTTTGCCAACAGCCAACACAACAACTCAAATGCATCACAAATAATTAAGTTTTAACTGAACTACCGATCTTCTTCAAATTACACTACTCATCTCATTAGCATCCTTTTGCTATCCCAGGATCCCAAACACCATTACGCTATGTTTCCTTGTTCTTATCCAATTTTGGAAATCTCTTTGTCTTTTAGGACCTTGGCATTTCTTAAGAGGACTAGTCAGTCATTCCTCAATTTAGGTATATCTGATGTTTTCTCATGTCTACATTGAAGTTATACATTTTGATAAAGGATACCACATAGCCAGTCACTTTTCTCAGTGCCTTAACGAAAGGTACACTGTGTCACTATACTTCATTACTAGGGAAATTAACCTCTATCACTGGGTTAACACCGTGTCTGGCAGATTGCTTTACTATAAAGTCATTATTTGTGACTTTGTAACTATAGAAACAAACCTTTGCCTTCAGCTTTCATTCACTACATTAAGCATCCATCATGTATGGTGCTTACAATAGTCATTACTGTGGTGCCTTACTTACTTTTTCACTTTTTATTGTGAATTGGATGAACGTTTACAAAGAAAATCAGTTTTCCATTTAATAATTCATACACATTTTATTTCATCTTATTGATTGCTATCCCCGTAATGTAACATCCCTTATCCCACTTACTCTCTGCTTCCCATTTCCATACCTCCTTCTTTCCTAACCTTTCAGAACTTTGTCCTTGGGTAAATACTGCCCATGTGGTCTCAAATGGCAGATTACTATTATCTTCCTACTCTAGTTCTCCTTATAGATTTGTCTATTGATTGGCTGAAAACTGGGCCATACCGGTGAGTTCATTTCCAGATCTGAAGGATGCCTAAAGGCTATAGTCTCA